ACTGCTGACTTCAGCAAGGGTGCTGGTGGCTTGCCTGAGAGAGGAGGTCAAGAAAACCTGTTTTCTTATGGATGCTGGACCAGTTAGGGTCTGCTGGAGGGGAGGTACACAAGGAGAGGATTGCGGGGCAGTGGCACTACTGTGCAAGGCTGAAGGGGTTGGAATGCTGGTACCTGGCTGTTGAGGTGACATTAATTTTTGATCTAAAAATGCAAACCCATTTTAGGGGCTTCAGTCTGTAGCTGAGCTTAGTGCTCTGAGCTGGGAAGAGCTGCTAAAAATTGACAGACAGCTCTTTGTTTGCTGTGTGCAGTTTGGAAATTAAGCAATACTTAGAAGCAAACATTGGTTCAATCAACATCAGCTCCCACTCTCCAGTGGTCAGTTTGGCTCATGTCAGGTAGAAAACAGCACATTGCATCACAGGCAAAACCCGACACCATGTATTTCTCCTAACCAGTGGGGAAACTGGTTTGTGGCATTTCCTGAAAAACAAACTAACCGCAATGACTCTGGAGTTGGAGCACAGCCTCAAAATTCACCCATGGTTCCAAACAGGGGCTGAAAGCATGTTTCTGGAAAGACTGTCACAGCTCCTGCAAGCCCCGTGCCAACCTGGGCTCCAGCAGATGAGCGACTCCCTCTTCCAAGAGACCTGGCATCGGGCAGGAGGGCTGGGATTTCCCCCAGATGCTTACACTGACCAGGTAAGCCAGCCCTGCGGAAGCCTTCTGACTTCTCCCAGCCCCTCCTGGGTTCCTGAACGTTGAATCACAGCATGGGTTGGGTCATAAGGGACCTCTAAAGACCATCTAGTCCACACCCTCTGCCATGGGCATCTTTCACTAGACGAGGTTGCTCAAAGCCCCATCCAACCTGGCCTCGAACAGTTCAGTGATGAGGTTAACCACAGCTTTTCTGGGCAACCTGTGCCAGCACCTCACTACTCTGAGTAAATAATTTCTTCCTGGTATCCAATCTAAATCTATGCTCTTTCATTTTAAAACCGTTGCCCCTTCTTCTGTCACAAGCCCTGGTAAAAGGTTTCCCTCCATCATTCCTGTAAGCCCCTTTTATAAAATGAAAGCCCACAGTACAGTCTTCCCAGAGCTTTCTCTTCTCCAGGCTGAACAACCCTAACTCTCTCAGCCTCTTTCCACACCAGAGGTGCTCCAGTCCTCTGACCATATTTGTGGCCCTCCTCTGGACCTACTCCAACAGGTCCACGTCTGTGTTCTACTGAGGACCCCAGAGCTGGATGCAGCACTGCTGGTGGGGTCTCACCAGAGTGGAGCAGAGGGGCAGAATCCCCTCCCTCGATCTGCTGGCCATGCTACTTTGGATGCAGCCCAGGATATGCTTGGCTTTCTGGCACAGTGCCAGCTCACGTCCAATTTGTCACCCACCAGTACCCTCAAGTCCTTCTCTGCAGGGCTGCTCTCCATCCATTCATCACCCCACATCACCGATTCCCATCTCTTGACATGGGCACCATTGCCAGTTCAGTTCCAGTCTCAGTCTTGTGTCCCACCCTGGGCTATCAACAGAGGGGCAGGGAAGATGGCCTAGGAAAATGGGTCCCCATCAGGCTGCCCTTCTTGCCTTCACCTGCTGTGACTTGACCTGTGGGGACAGGACAGGACAAGAACATGAGCCCAGCTTTTGTGGTTGATCACGCTGACATCCTTGTCACGGGCAGGCTTCACCCTTCTCTGAACCACAGACTAAAAATTCCCATTTCTAGATGGAAACGAGCCAACTCTATAGACGAACCCGAAGTCCTGGTGGGTGTATATTGCACTCTCCCCTCAGCCTATCGCACCCCGAGGTTCAATTGATTCCGTTTTTTTTCCTCTTCCATTTTCAGTACTTTTTCTCCTTAATATCTCAAGGTGAGCTGGGTCTTCATCACACAACTGCCAGCCTGGTGACCCCCAGGAAGAGCAGCATCAGCTCCAAAGGCCTCCACTGCTGGACAGGAGCACCTCTACAGAAATAACTGCTCCCAAGAGTCGGGCGAGATGCCTGTGTTAGTGTGGTGCCTTGATTGCAGCTTTTCCTCTCCCCAGTTAATGTTTTCCCCACGTGCACACAGCACCAGAGCCCAGCTCCAGCTGCCATTCAGCTGTGTTGGCTCCAGGATGAGCTCTGCCGTGGGGAGCAGCCAGGTCCGTAATAAAGCCAAACCCTCTCCCAGATGGTTGTGCCAGCTCTAACTTTATCCCAGCTCAATTACAACAAACGTCCTTGCCTCAGGACATGACCAAAACTCCAGTCCAGCCTCGCCTCAACCACAAACCACAGTGTGGTCTGCAGTAATGAGGGAGATGTAGAAATAAGCAGTATTATTTTACCTTCAATTTTACTTTGTGTGGAGCTGAGCCCTATTCTTTTCTTGGGGTTCAGAGGTGTTCAAGCATCACCAGTGACCTGTGGTTGGTCAGAGGGTGTGTTAATTTGCATTTCTTCATCATTCATGTAATTTTTAGCAGCATCCTCTTTCTGAAAACAGAACAGTCAGGGTCTTTAGTGTTGCAATACAACGGACTTGTGATGTGTAACAATAATTCAGCTCATTTCATGAAGATCCACACTATGGAAGACTTGGTGCTTTCTGGAGGCACTGTCTTACCTCCGTCCTTTCTGGTAAAGCTGCTCCTACTTGCATGAGGCAGAGCATTGACCTCTTACCTCGAAAAACAAGATTTTCCATCATTAGTAAGAACTGGCCCTCGCTGTTCAATCTCAGCTTAGTCAGCCAGATACCTGCATTTAGACATGGGAGGAGCTCTCTAGAGAGAGGTATGGCTCTAACTAGAACTTGTTGAATGTGCGTGTGTTGTGAGACTCCAAAAGGATGGCTTTTTGCAGCTGGAGGCCACCCAGAGCACTTTTCCTTTTGGATCCAAGGCTTCCCTTGGTGGGATGTACTCCTCAGAAAGGAGCATTTCAGAGGCCTGTTGAGTTCTTTGGAGATCAATCTCTTGGCCATCAAGCCCAGGTGTTGTAGAGGACACATCACCAATCTGATGTGCTTCTGCCGTTGGGTACCTCCAAGGCCAGCTGGGTGTTGAAGAGTTTCTTCTCCCTGGAGCTGCTCTGCAGCAGGCTGGAGAGCACAAGAGAGGCAAAGCCACTGAAGGAGCAGCTACAAGATGGGCACAGACCAAGAGGTGAATGGAAATCCATCATGGAGAAAGGTAGGATTTGGCAGCATCAAAAAGAAGTATAGAAGCTATTCCGTATGTGACCAGTGACTTCCAGATGACCAGTGGCTGGACATCTGAAAATCCAGGAGGTTACTGGTAAAGGCTGTAGGACAAGAGGTAAACAGTAAAACCTATTGCAATCCAAGCTTCTTCCTTTACCCCTGAA